CATATTTTCATTTTATTTTGTTTTAAAATAAGTGTTTATTTAAAAAAAAATAAATGATTATTTTTTTATTTTACCTTTAATTATGAAGTGAAAAAAATTAATTACTATTCTTATTATTAGGGTAAAATTGTCATTTAATTCATTAGAATTATATGTTTTTAATTATGACTATTTATTTTAAGATGAATAAAGTAATTATTATTTTTTAATTAGAATAATTTATACATTTATTATTATAAGACAGTGTAAAAATATAATTATAAAATTTGATATTTCATTTATTTTAGAAATTGGGTTTGTGATTACACACGTGTGAGAATGAGTTTAATAGTTTATATGAACGATTCCTATCATGCATATCAAGACGCGGCTGTCATCCGGCTTTAGGATTGGCTTGGCTGAGTTGAGCCAAAGTTCTTGGCTTAACCAACATAACCCTTTCAATTTACTTAAATTCCAATTTTTTACATATAGTTAAGAGCTTGAAATTGTCAACTCACAATTATTATTATTATTATTATTAATTTTTTTTATTAATCTGGATATCCAATTCGTTATACGAACCGACTAATTTTAAGACAACCACCTGCTTTGCGGGTAATTCGAGTCACCATATTTGAACCTCCATGGCCACAAGAAGATTTTTATTTCTCATTGGTTTTGAACCTGTGATCTATAGACACTTTTGATCATTGGAATCCAAACTCAAACCAATCAGACATTACCCTTGTGGTTCACAATTACTGTTCTTAGTTCATTAATATTAACAAAAGTTGTTTAAAATATATCAAATTAACAACCTTTTTGTTTTTCTTTTATTATATACAAGAGACATTGCCTCAAACGTCTAGTTCGGTTGATAAAAATATTGGACGACTTTACCCATATATATAAGAGACGTTTTTTCAATACGTTTGCGTATCCTGTTTATATCTATATCCGTTTGTGTTTCAAAGTCCATCACACACTTTTTGATTAAAGCAAAATGTTGGTTATCAAACTATTTTGAAACTCTTATACGTTTTATGTACACATAACATCATGCTACCACTTGTGCTAAAAGGGTTTCATTAAGTTGGTCATAAATTATGCACATGGAGAATTTATGAGCGGTAATGATGTAATTTTTATTTTTAGCCACTTTTTTTTAGAGTAAACAGTGAAGTCAAAATAAAAAAAGTCAAATCTAAACAAATCACGTTTGAAACTAATTGATCGGATTATGAACAAATCAAAACCATGTTCCAAAGCTAACGAAATCCCCATTAATCAATTACCCAAATCAATATTAGAAACCCTGATTTAACTGGGAGATGCTTATTATGTAAAAATGGTCAACTTTTTTCTTGATTAACCTGGATATCCAACCTGCTATGCGAGCCGACTAATCCCAGAACGACCACCTGCTTTGCACGTAGCCCGGAGTCACCGCATTTGAACCTCCGTAGCCACAAGGGGATTTTTGTTTCTCCTTGGATTTGAACCTGGGACCTCCAGACACTTTTGACCTTTAGAGTCAAGCTCAAACCAATCAGTCACCACCCTTGTGGTTAAATGATCAACTTTTTTGAACAATAGAGAGTTGGTGAAGACAGCAATGTTGGAACCAGGTATGATTGATTTTAAAAAAAAAAAAACTAAGAGAAAATTACGTAAATTCGTTCCATTTGTGAGATGCCTATGAAACCCATATACCCATTTTTCAGTTTAGATTGTTAGGTAAGGTTGATTTAGATATCTGTGTCGAATTATTCTTGCCATAAAAATATGGAAACCCTTAATGACGTTTACAGTTCGAAATCAGCCACCATCTCACCTGCCCCATGATAGCAATGGGACCAAAGCGTAACAAACGTTGTTTCAAGTTTTGGGCTTCTCAAGATTAAGATCGAGATTAATTTAATTATGACTTGACCTTTCCTAAATTATGAGTTTATATCATCCACGCCATTCCCACCTACCTTTTCCTTTCTATCGTTTTCTTTGTATCTGTATAAACCTTGAGGGCTATACAATGCATATATACAGTCATTAACATGAGTGGGACCATTAGGAGCTGAAAGGACTCCCGTTACAAGACGTCATGGTTTCGAATCTTTCAAGTCATAATTTACATTTTTATCTTTTAATTTTGTGTTCTATACCTGGCCCAAAACATTTACTTAGACCTTACAATGCTATTTCTGAAAATATTAACAACAAAAGTATAGTTAGAAGGATTGAACTTACAACTTCAAGTACAATTATAAACATTACTACAACCACAAGGGTGGTGCTTGATTGGTTTGAGCTTGACTCCAAAGGTCAAAAGTACCAAGAGATCTCAGGTTCAAATCTAAAGATAAATAAAAATCCTCTTGTGGCCACGGAGGTTCAAATGCGGTGACTTCGGGCTATCTGCAAAGTAGGTGGTCGCCTTGCGATAGCGGGTTGGATATCCAGGTTAATCAATTTTTTTTTACAAACATTACTACCACTATGCCAATGCAACTTCTGGTTAATTTTCTTCCATTTTGATTTTATTATTTTGTTCATTATTTTATTCATCTTAAAATTGTTTTTTTTTCCTCATTTTTAAGACTGACATATTATTAATCCTAAGGATCAAAATCAGATTCCATTAAAAAAAAATCTTATCCCTAAAATCAACACAATTAACTTTTCTGTAGGACAAACTACCTTGACTTTCTCCACAGGTCAAATCACAATTTTGCTGACATTTGATCCACCTTAAAGGTGCACTTGCTCATGAAATTTATGGATCCACCACTGGCCATTAAAGCAAACTTGAGCATCTCCAATAACTACATTGTATTTTTTCTAAAATAAAGTATTAAAAGTTAAAATGTATAGAAAATTACATACAACTCCAAGAACTACTCTATTTTAGCAATTATATAATTACCTATATTATTAAAATATTGAATACATTTGATAAAATGTTATTTTTTTCTCATAAGCATTTAGGGGCCGTTTACGAAATGCTTACCTAGATCATCGCTTACCAAGTCACATTATCTTACCGGATGAATATGACAATGACCAAGAATTTTATCCGGTAAGAACGAAGGCAAGGACCGAAGTCTTACCCGGTAAGTGATAGCAACGACTTTTACCACGGTTAACGCTTACCGGGTAAACTATTTCATACAATGTCGTTTTGGTAGACTCAAATCTTACCCGGTAAGTAAACCATAGTGTTGAATTTTACCAGTAAGCGCTTACCGGGTAAATATTTAGGTAGACGGCCCCTTAGTTTCAATGCCTTTTATTATCTTAGATATGGAGTTTTAAAGATTTCTCCAAATTTGGATATTTCTACTCTCCCCCCTCTATTTTAGCATATGTTATAGAATCTCTAATAACTATGTTAAAATAAAGATTTTAGAAATTTAGGCCCTGTTTGTTTTTACCAAAAAAGCACTTAATACCCTCTTATGTCTGAATCTGTCAGACCTTAGGATATTAATCATATGTTAAGATAGAGATGGTAGAAATCTCCATATTTAGAGAAATCTCTAAAATTTCATACTTAAGAGAGATAAATAATATTTAATTATTTTTCAACAATAGAAGACATTGAAATTAAGTATTTAGAAAAAAATATTTTATTAAATTTATTGAATATTTTAATATAGTTGATGATAGAACTGCTAAAATAGAATAGTTGTTGGAGTTAGATGTAATTTATTTATACATTTTAATACTTTATTTTAGAAAAATCATACCATAACAGTTGAAGGTACTCTTAGACCATCTCTAACCCAACATTAAAAACACAAAAATAAAAGTGTTTTCATCTCCAACCTAACACTAAGGGGGTGTTTGGGATGATTTATAAAAACAACTTATTAACTTATTCCAGTGTGACATCGGTAATGAGCACTTTTGAGTGTTTGGATAAACAATTTATACCGGTGTCAAACCGGTATTAAGAAGTTTTTAAAGAAGTAAAACCATTCTAACTTATAATAAATTGATAAACACTTTTGTAAAAAATATAAGTTGTTTCAAATAAGCAATTTTAGACACCCCCTAAAAACACCAAAAAATAAAGGTCCAAAATGTTGGTCTCTATGTTCAGATGTAGACACCTAAAAACACATTAATATTTCATTCAACTTTTCCAATTACCTATACTATATTATAAAACATTTGACAAAAACTCTTAAAAACTACTTTTTATCCGTAAAGTATTGTTTATTAATGCATATTACTTAAAACTCAAGATTACAAGTAGATTGTGCGTAAGTACAACTTATTAAAGTTTCATATATGAATTCGTGTAACTAACTGCAGATAAATATAATCAAATACATGATAAACATCTCATTTTAAATATAAAAAATCTAAAATATAATCAGAATAATCATTGAGTTCTAACATAATACTTAATTATTATCTTTATAAAATGTTATATTATTAAACTAAAAATAAATTATTTTGTTATTAAACTTAAATTAAATTATAATAAAAAAAAGAAATTACATAAAAAATGAGAATTTTTAAATAGTTGATTTGATATTAAGATTGATATATTTTTTTTCAAATTTTTATGATATCTTCAAATTTATATTTTATTAAAAAATAAAAGCATCATTGTTTTCTTAAAAACATATAAAATCGTATTATAACATTGATAAAGACAAATAATAAAATAGAACATTAAAATCGAGATGTGTTTCGATGTCTTTTGCGAATACTCTTCTAGTAATAATATACATAATTTATTTTATTACTAAAAAAATGAATTTCTAAGAATTTCTATTTTAACATCCGTTGATATTCAAAAAGCAAAACTCAAGCCACGCCAAGCCCGGCTAGGCTCCAACAAACCATAGCCACAGACTCTCAAAGTTCAAAGATCCTTGTCGTTGTGGCTTGTCTTTCATCTTCATCCTCATTCTTGAAAACTTTTGACCCGCACAAGAGTCCAATTTCACTGGATTACTCACCAAAAGTTTGTTCTTTAATATTCCCTTGTCAATTCCAGCCTCCACCCACTTCAATTTCCTCACGTTCCTACTTTTAATTTCCCCCAAAATTCACAAATGTTTAGCAGTACCAACACTCAAATTAGCAACCCTAAACATCACGACTTTTCAAAGCTAGTAGATATGGATAATGGTTGATTCTTGGATACTGCTAATTATTGACCACTATCGTCATTGTTGCTTCGTGTTTGGTGTCTGTTTTTTTTGCAATTTTCATGACGGTAAAAACCCTAGAATCTTTATTTAGATAGTGGGTGTTCCTACTATTTCCCTATTTCTCCACTGCTTTCGTCTTACTCGAATTAATACACGTATCTATATCTCTATTTTATATAGCTTTCTAAGCAACTTTTGGGGTCAAGAAAAGCTGCAGAGCCATGTTTAACCCCAAATCGCGATCTTCTTCTTCTGCTGCTGATGATGAAGATGGTCGTAACCGATATGTGGAAACCGACCCGACTGGTCGATATGGTCGGGTAAGATTGAGTTCTTTAATGGGTTGTTTCATGCAACTGTTTCTTTTGAGTTTTCTTGAATTTGGTAGTTGATTTAGTGTTTCAGAAAGTGTGATTTTGTTTGTGGCAGCTTTGGCATTTAAGCCCTATAGAGGAATACATTATGATTGTATTACTATGATTAATTGAATCTTTACATGATAGAAACCATCTAAATACAAAGTTTTATATGGTTTCTTTTAATCTTTCTTGGTTCAGTAATAAGGTGGTGTTTCAGAGTTAGGAGTTAGGAATGGAATTCGAGCTCGAATTCTTATCTCATAAGGGGTTTCTAATAAAGATGTAAAGCCTCATAGCCCAAAGCAACAGACTGGCTCAATAATCTCCAAATCAATATAAAACCATAGCAAAAGACCAGAAATTATCGCTAGCCCACAACTTTGAGCTTAAGGAGCTCATAAATTTACTTTTCTATCTATGTAGGACGGTTTATACCGTTGATTGTTACGAGAGAAAAAGCTAAGTTTGGGTGGATTTTTGTGGGAAGAATGATGAAAGTTAAGTACCCAATCTTTGATGTCATTAATGCCCCCATAAAGCTCAAAAAGGAAGGAAATTTGGTACCATCTTTTGGGTTAGGCTCTTGCATACAAGGAAAGAACATAATCTTGATAATTGTTGCACTAATTCAGTTTGGTGGATATTTGTGTAAATTATAATGAAAGTGAATTAAATGATAATCGTTAATCTTTGAATCTTGGATGCTCTCATTTTTGTGTTTCGTGGGTACGTACTGAAAACCATCTTGAACTTGAATTGTTTCAAGTTAGGTCGTTATTTGCGTCTATATGCAATGCCACGGCCATGCTTGGCAACCATGAGGTACCTTTTTTTTGAGTTTATTGAAATAGACCCGTTTGGTTAGTGATAAACTAGCTTCTTGAAACACTACATTAAGCGGAGTTTCAATAAGCTACAGGTGCTTTTTTCCACCTCTTCTCAATAATACCCTTTATATTTTTCCAACTACTTTTTCAACAAGTCCCTTTTAGATCATTTCACATTGTCATCCAGCTTATCAGCTAGTTTTTACCAAACATTATTGGTTTATCTGCCAACAACTAACTTATCAGCTAATATGGCACACAACCCAAGCAATAGGTATGATTATGGTAGTTCAAGGTGGTTGAATCTTTTTTTCGTTCTTTTTTGTGAATTTTGGTCAGTTTAAGGAAATTCTTGGAAAAGGGTCGATGAAAATCGTGTATAAGGCAATTGATGAAGTTCTTGGTATGGAAGTGGCATGGGGGCAGGTCAAGCTTAACGACTTGCTCAGGTCTCCAGAAGACTTGCAACGGCTGTACTCCGAGGTTCACCTTCTCGGCACTCTCAATCATGATTCAATCATCAAATTCTACACCTCGTGGATTGATGTAGACCGAAGAACCTTTAATTTCATTACTGAAATGTTCACTTCAGGAACCCTCAAAGAGTAATGCTTTTTTCCCACTAATTCTATATCCGATTTCCTTCTAGTGCTAATTTGAGGAATTTTTTTTTTGTTTTTGTGCAGATACAGAAAGAAATATAATAAAGTGGATATTCGTGCTATAAAGATTTGGGCTCGCCAGATCCTATCAGGCCTGATTTATTTGCATGGTCATGACCCTCCGGTGATCCATAGAGATCTAAAGTGTGACAACATTTTCGTAAATGGTCATTTGGGAAAAGTAAAGATTGGTGATCTTGGGCTTGCAGCCATTCTTCGTGGCTCCTGCAGAGCACATACTATTATCGGTACATTTCTAGCATTGTATACACCACATATATATAGGGTTGGGTTCATTTGAGACCAGTCTATTTTCTGAGACCTGTGAGACCACAAAATAACACTGAAACTTCACAACTGACTTCTAGCTCATAGTTCAATTGGACATGTAGGTTATATTCGTACCATAGAAGGAATTCAATCACTATTAATTGGTATCTTTATTTATGCATCAATGACGATAGATGCATTCGCCATAGTTTTAGCATTACGGCAAAGCCGTGTCAAATTTATAGCGGATTTGGGCTAGAAAACATTGTGAAGGTACAAAAGACACCGAAACTTTAGTGTTTTGATGTGAAGGTTCAAAGTTATTTATGTGGTCTCACGGGTCCCAAAAAAACAGTCTGGTCTCACATGATCCCAAATCTATATATATATATATATGTATATATATTGCTCTTTCTTTCTCGTTAGCTAGTATATATGCCATCTAGTGGCATCTATGGTATTATCCGCTTAGGTTTCTTTTTGGTGTCTTTGTGTTGTTTGTGTGTGGAGACGGCTTCTTGTGCTTTGTTCTTTATTTCGGTTCCTAAGATGGCATGTGATGCACAACCTATTATTCTTCAATTTCTGTTTGGTTCTTTAGCGTGCGTTTGGTACATAGGCATTACTAGACGGGTGACAGTGAGGTAGGTGAGTGAAAGAATTATGCAAGATTTTAGGGTTTTAATTTGGTATCTTGGTAATTTACCAATCTTTGTCTCATCTCCCTGATTTTTGTTCTACCTATTTTGATGGGACAATAAACTGTAGTTTTGTCACGCTCGGTCATGTCTTGAACCATTCTAACGTCGCACCAAGTGTGAGACAATAAGTTTTTGTTTTCTCATGTCCCATCCTGCCCGGCTTACCAAATGCACCCTTACTGATCACAAGGTACCTAATATGAACCCTCTAATCCGTCTTTGGTGTGTGTTGGTATCATTGAATGAGATAGATCCTAATGTAGAGAGAGCATATATGTTATGTGTCTCTACCAATTATGTTACCTCCATTTCATACGTGGAACAAATTGTTTTCGCTTCAAGAATCCTGAAGGTCACCTTTACGGTTCGTAATAGATGATGTGAGTTGTTGTCCCTTCAGGGATTTTTCCCTTTCGGACTTTGTTGCCTTGTGGTTAACGGTGCCTTTTGGGATCATTTCCTTTATCTTTCCCATTGAGCCATCTTTAGTTAGGCGTATTAGCGTGAATCCTGTTGGAGTCCTACATTGGCTAGACACGAACCATCAAAACATGTATATGTAGGAATCTCCTTCTCTATAAGGACTCTTTTAGAGTGAAACTCAAAGGGATTATGATATCAGAGTGAAGGTCTAGCACCACCTAGGGACCCGACACACTCTTTTGCCTCCATTTAAGGGGGCGTGTTGGAGTCTCACATCAGCTAGACACAGATCATCAAACATGTATAAGTGTATATATGTGGGAACCTCCCCCGTCTCTATAAGGGTGTGTTTGGTATACACACAGTACATAACAACTGTTAGTGTTTGGTAAGACATAACCAAACAAGGCAATCAGGCAGATTAGGTAAAATGACCAATTTACTCCTAATGAATTGTTTATATCTTTTATATATTTTGATTAATTTATATAATCTATTAAATTATAATAAAATTAATATTTTATTAGAAAGTTTACGTCAAGACGCTTAAAATGACACCAAAATAAATGTTCATATAGTTTCCATTTTTTATTTTATGCCTTTTCTATATTGTTCTTTTATCATTAATGTTTAAGAAATTACATAAATTAACCAAAATATAGAAACCGTATAAAAATAACATTTTGAGGCCAGTAAAGTGAAAGTTTAAAGAGCATAAAATACAATAAATAAACTGTAAAAAGGGAGGCGTATTTGATGTTTTATAAAAAGACAAGTTCTATTTTGAGGGTAAATTGGCAAAATATATGTTTACGCCGGTTCCACTTTGTTCCTGTATGTTCCACATAAAGTCCTGCCAAATGTGGAACAATGATTCCTGTTTAGTTCTGTCCTGTACAGTGTATCAAACGCACCCCAAGGGATCTTATATAGAGATTCAAAAAGGTTCCACATATTCTCGCAAATCCCATCTCGGCTTGAGGTCTTATCTAGTGAACCGACTCTTTTGGGTACCCTATCCCCTATCCTAACACTATTGTTCTCCCGTTTCTATCAGGCACACCAGAGTTCATGGCGCCAGAACTTTATGAAGAAAACTACAACGAATTGGTTGATGTGTACTCGTTTGGCATGTGCATACTTGAAATGCTAACTCACGAATATCCGTACAGTGAATGCACCAATCCTGCACAAATTTACAAGAAAGTAACATCGGTATGGCCAGATTTTGATTACACAAGAAAGAACTTTCATATGGGACTATAGAAAACTTATCATCGAGCCCTTTTCAGGGTAAGCTTCCAAGGGCATTTTACAAAGTCAAAGATCTCGAAGCCCAACGCTTCATTGGAAAGTGTTTGGTCAATGCTTCAAATAGGTTGTCCGCTAAGGACTTGATGCTCGATCCGTTTCTTGCAACGGATGAAGATGAACAGGCACCGTTTTCAAAATATGTCCATCAGAAGCCATTTATCAACGATGATATTGAAATCGAGAAGCTGCATTTGGTCAACGATCCACCACGAACCGACATGTCGATTGCGGGGAAATTGAATCCAGATGATGATGCCATCATTCTTCGGGTACAAATTGCCGATAGAGAAGGTAAATTTCATGCCTTTTTTAACTTGATTTCGGCCTAAATGTCGTAAAGATTCATGAGTTACATTACACCATAACACATGCGTGTAGGTTCCGTGAGAAACGTGTACTTCCCATTTGACATATTACATGATACCCCGGATGAGGTTGCGTCGGAAATGGTGAAGGAGCTAGAGATCACAGATTGGGAGCCGTCTGATATCGCTGGTATGATCGATGGAGAAATTTCTGCTCTGATGCCAACTTGGAACGACAACCCGCATAGACCAGATAATTCCCAAATCGTGAATCTCAATCAAGATGAAGATGATGATCATCACCATCCGTTCCGGTCCCTATCATCTTCCTCTTCGTCTCAGTTATCTTTTTCAGGCATGGCTACTCCACAACAAACCGATGGAATGGCGTCTGGCACTGATTGGCTGCAAGGTACGCTTTAAAACGCTAACGGGTGATGTCACTACGACAAAATTGGCTTTATAGGACGTCAAAATGTTTTAACGTCCTAATAGACTGCTTTATAGGATGTAAAGTTTGTATGACCAAACAATTATGCGTCATATATAAAGGTGTTACAATAAGTGATGGGACAAACAAGTTTTTTAGGAGACTTTTGAAATATAGCGTCCCATTAGTCCCCTTATATGACATTATTTTTAAAAATGTCATATATAAAAAAGCTAATAGGACACTTTGTTTCCAAGTTGTCCTAAAAAATATGTTAGGATGCCAATATAGTATGGCATCCTAACATCTTATTGTAACACCTTTACATAGGACGCACAATTGTTCAGTACGGTAAACGTAAGCCCCATAAAATAGTCTAGTATGACATTTAGGGCCTGTTTGCTAGCAGCTTAATGAGAGTCGCATCTTATTCAACCAACTATACATAATTTTTTGGTAGTGGCGTAATGATATAGAAAGTGGCTTATTAAGCAAGTTTTTTGGGGAGCTTTATGCAGAAAGTCGAAAAAAATTCAAATAAAGATTTTCATAATCTATACGGACATCTTTATCCATACAAAACTTAATGGAAAACCAACCAAACGACCCCTTTGACATATTTGGCATCTTATAAAGCCGATTTTGTTATAGTGTGATAGAAATCAAACTTTGCACGGTGGCGTCTATACGCAATCTTTATAATCTGAACCGTCTTTATGGTCTAAATTGCTTCTGCAAAAACATATGGTCTTGCAGATCACATTTTTGATGACACAAGTTCTCAAGAGTCTGTAGTTTCAGGAACATATTCAAATTTGAGTTACTGTTCGGCTGAAGACCGCCATGAATACCGTTCTTTAAGCCCTATAAACCGAACCCACAACTCTACTAGATTCAGCCATGGAGACAAAGCTTCCCAGAATCACGAAAAACCATCAAATGTCACCGTTGACCTTCATCGAGCTTCGACATCCAAAGGGGCTGCACCACGGCTAACAAGAAACCAATCGTTGGTTGACATGAGAAGCCAGCTGCTCCATAGATCTTTGGTGGAGGAAGTTAGTAAACGACGCCTGTCTAAGACCGTTGGCACCGTGGCAGACGTTGGGTTCCAGCTACCCGTTGACGGTTCCAGGTCACGACTCGGTTCTGGTCAGCGGCTCAGGCACAAAGGAAGAAGGGTTTAGTCCCATCTGAAAGCTTATATATATGTGTGTGTTGTGAAAGGAGTTGTATGTTCGGTTTCGGTCACGGTCACGGTCACGGTCCGTGGTCTCAGTCCGGTTCAGGTGCCATTAGCAGTGAGGATGGTAGTGTATATTGGGCTGGTTCCAAAGGGGTGCCCTTAGGAGACCATTTCCTCTGTAAAAATGACTAAGTTTATAGTATTGTATAAATTTTACTGCATAAATACAAGTGATTATAGCATTCTTGTTTCCAATTTGACTATTTTTTATTTGGGAAAAAGTATTTTACCAAAAAAATCCTACTTTTAAGAATAGAGTTTAAGTGGGTTATCATCAATAATAATCACATCACGAGGTGGACGGACCTATTATAGGGCATGCGGTGGCACGTGCCATCTTAGGTTCGTGAAATGTGCAACCGTATTAATCTGTTGTGTGTTACAGTATGTATTTTGAAACTACAATGAGAACAAATTTTTATTTAGTAGAGTTGGTTTGCAAGGTTTTTATTCCACCCCAGATCCAAAATCGAATCCTATTAGTGTCATTTTCTTAGTCAAATAGTGCCACCTTTTGAAGAAAAAAAAATATGTATATTTGTTTCTTATGGTCAAACGGTATTTTTCCCTATACTTTTTCTTATAGTCAAATGGTGCCACCGTTTGAAAAAAAAAATTGGGTCCGCCCCTGCATTAGGAAAGGATATTTTACTTTATAGCCCTCGACTAAATATTTTCATAAAATAGTCAACAAGTCAACGTTATAAGATACTTTTTCCTTGAGGTTTTACAACTTGCGACTTTGGCTTGTTTTTGGTGTGTAGACACAAGCGACTACGACACAACAACTTGCTGTTCTGTAATGGTTTTTACATTGGACCCACTTTTTCACTAGATGGCTTGTCAGAAATCGCAAGGAAAAGTGCCTTGTAGCGTTGACTTGCGGTTTCTTGACTATTTTACGAGAAAATTATGTAAGGTGACTGTAAAATAAATGTTTTTTTTTAATTAGGTGGCCATTTGAGATGATAACCCGGTTCAGTGCTGTATATATCTCATCCATCCAACAGAATTACCGCTCTTTGTGGGTTTTCTTAAACCCCACGTCAGAAATGACAAAACACTAAGAGAAGTTTTGAAATCCTTTTTTATATAGAGTTCAAGTCTATATACATCTAATTGGTTTGTTTGTTTACCTCTTAATAGTTTCATTAAGAGACAACATTTGAATCGTTAAGAGATGAATCTTGTTTGACAAAAAAAAAAGTTTGTCTCTTAATAAATCTAAAACCCTCTGAACGATTTTGTATCATTGGTCTCCCTTAACCTTTCAAGCGCCCTAATTTCGTTGTAAATAGTAACCAAACAATTATATTTCATTTTACACTATATCATGAGAGCCTCTTAATCATTTTATACCAAACCATTCAACAACTGTCTTAAATCCAACAAAGCTACTGTATTTTTAAATGGGTTTTCCTAAAAACCCACCCATGTCTGAAATGACAGAATGAAAAGGGGGTGTTCTGAAATCTTGATAAAAAGTTAAATAATTGAGATTCTTTGAATTTTGGCTCCTTAACTATTTCATGTGTTGACACAAAGTCCTTGCTTTTAAATTCAAAGGACTGTCGTTTTTGGTTATGTCCAATAAGACAACACATGTGGGGTGGGCCTTTTCTTTCTCATCTTTTAAATGGTCAAATACTTGGTCATGTACCCTCTTTTACTTTTTAAGATAATAACTCTCATTAATATGTTTTTTTACAGTCTCATCTCATGTGGGATTCAAACAGCTGGGGTGGGTTTTTTTTTATGCCTAAAATGGTTAAATATCGTCTTTTATTTTAGGGATTGTTTGTTTACTTTTTAATAGTTCTATTAAGAGCTCTAATTTCATTGTACACAATTACCAAACAATTATATTTCATTTTGTACTGTATCATGAAAGTCTTTTAATCATTCTGACCACTTAATCATTCTGCACCAAACCATTCGGTAATTGCTCAACAGCCCCTTACATTTGGATATTACGATAAAATTGATTTTATAGAACGTTTTTAGACGTCTTAATCAGGAATTTAAGACGCTTTAATTAGTTATTTTATATGATACTCTTGAGAAGTGTCCTATAAAACCATCTTTTTTTATATGACATTTGTATTTATAGGGCAGTTTTTCAAATAAAGTGGTATAAAGTAGTTGATACGACACTTTATTTTAAAAGCATATTAAAAAACTTATGAAAACGCCTATAAATGTATAATAAACTTATTAATTGTAACACGTTTAGGTATGATGTTTTTTGGTTAGGTCTTATAAAGTGTTTTTTAGGACGGTTCTACGTTTTAAGTTTTCTATAAACTCAATTTTGTTGTAGTGTTAGGTTGTCTTGCTTTTCGTCCTAACAAATTACTGTAACTCGTTTGACGCACAATTGTTGGTAATATAAATTACAAAAGTCTCATTAAATAATCTGTTATGACTACTGGATTTTGTTCTAATGCATACTACTGTTGTAGTGATGTTACGAGACAAGCAACCCGGTTTTGAAATAAAAACATCACAGTGTGTGCATAGATGCCATGTGAGGTGCACAAAAAACAGACATGAAAGCGAAGTTAAAACAATAGCAAAAACATGTCACCTTTTAAACGTCTCAATTGCACCAGTTCCATGGCTAGGGAAATCCTATATATGACAATATGTTTGTGTATGTAAATGAAACTTACTTGGAGTAACACATTATATATATATATATATATATATATAGAGAGAGAGAGAGAGTGTTTGGTTTAAATGTTAACCAAGTTTATTGTGTTAACTTTGTTAATCATTTTCAACCAATGACAATCCATCTTATATACAGGTTCATATTCATCTTATAATTTAATAACAAGAGTAAATATGTAATTTTATTTTTTATGTAACTCCTATGTCATTAATTGGAAGTTATAAAATCAAAAAATCTCATGATTTTTGTTAATTTATTATTGATCTTGTGTTTTTTATAATATTGATTTTTCTATCTATAATGTTTTTGAATTTGTGATTAGTAGAGAAGACCCGGTAATAAAGTTTTCGGTATCGTTCAAGCTATTATGGATAAACTCATTGTTCATAATGAATGAACTATTGTTCACAATGAAGAAACTATTGTTCACAAGTGTTCATATGCACATTAGTTGCATATCTCAACATTGACTTGCTTCTGAATGTGTTCATAATGAAAGAACTATTGTTCACAAGATGTTCATATTGTGTTCATATGTACACTAGCTGCATATCTCAACATTGGTTTGCTCCTGAATGTGTTCATAATGAAGGAACTATTGTTCCCAAGTGTTCATATTGTGTTCATATGTACACTAGTTGCATGTCTTAACATTGGCTCGCTCCTGAATGTGTTCATAATAAAGGAACTATWGTTCACAAGCTGTTCATATTGTGTTCATACCTGTTTTATTTATTTATTTTCTTTCGTGTAGCAGTTATTCTTATTATGTTCATATATGCAAAAAAAATTGTTTGTATTTGACACGACGGTTAATATGTGTGTGTGTGTTTATATGGTTCTTACATTAACAAAAATTATGAGGTTTCTTGATTTTGTAACTCCCAATACATAAAAAAGAAAATACATAAATACATTTTTCCACTTAGTTCACATATATTTATGAAATTGTAAATTAAAAAATTAAAATGTTAATATGATAAATCACAACCGTTTATTGTAAGAATCACTGACCAAGATTGGTTAACAAAATTAACACAATAAACTTGGTTAACATTTGAACTAACCCCTATATATATGTGTGTGTATATATATATATATATATATATAGAGAGAGAGAGAGATATATATATATATATATATATATATATATACCCTTCTTTTAACTGACTCTGACCTATCAGAAGCAGTATTGCCTTTTACTTTGAATTGGCTTTGCCTTTTTTATCAGGGGTAGTTTTGTATTTTTCAAATTTTTTATTTTTTTATGATAGACGGTTATAGTAGTTTTTCCATGTTTTAAGGAGAGATAATTATGAAAGTTATTCTTTAATTTATTCTTTTATTAATTGATTTTTCTTTTGATTTGGTTGTAAACGAACCACCCCATTTTCATAAGTGAACCCCTCACATGTTCATAATTGAATCACTTTTGTTCATAATTGGACCACTCTTATGTTCATAAGTGAACCATCAGCATGTTCACATATGAACTAGTGCTATGTTCACAAGTGGAAGAGCACCAAGTTCACATATGAACTAGTGCTATGTTCACAAGTGGAAGAGCACCAAGTTCACCTTCTTCACCAATATTTCATTGTGTATTCAATGTAATGGAGATACATAATTGAGTAATCAAAAAATCATAAATTTTTTAACTTAAAAATATGTTTATTACCTTCTGTGCCAATCGATTTCTTCACCTTCTTCGACTTGAAGTATGTTTATTACCCTCAAATCTTCCATGTTCGGCCAAACTCCCAAATCACAAGGGGAAAATCGCATGGACCAAATGAGGGGATGTTTGGGGGTCGCTGTAAGAGATATAGTTCAAGATGGTTCACATGAGATGGGGGAGGAATGAGCACCATTCCATTTCTTCGTCCTCCGCATCTACATCGACGGGAATCGCTCATGGATGTTTAGGGTTCGTTGCAGGAGATAGAGATTGAGAGGTTTCACATGAGATGGCGGAGGAATGAGCACCATCCCCTTTCTTTGTCCTCTGCATCTGCATCGACTGGAATCGTTCATGTTATTCAAATCGATGTAGAATATCACGATTTTCTTTGGCAGTGGCACCAAAATCGGAACAAACTAATTGGAAAATGAGTGATCTTAGGGAATAGTTGTAACACCCCCGTCCCGCATGGTCAAAGACGGGAGATGCCACAATTGGGATAAAAACAACGCACTATATAAAACAGAACAACTAATAAAATTTACCAAAAGATAATTACATAATCATAGACGGAGATTATCTCTGCTGAGCTTAATGCTCAGTGAACGGATAATAATAATTAAACAATGAATATGAGATAACAAGTTCAAAAACAATTTATAAAGCCAAGTGATAATTCAAAAGAAAGTCAAAATGCCCCAAAAGCATGTCAAGGGTCCGAAGACCAAATCGCATCACGAGGACGCATTGTTCCCAAAGGATGATCAGTCTATTCAGGCACAAGTGAGGAAAGGGGTGTGAGCACAACACAACAATCCTCT